AAAGCTATAATTCATCTTTTAATTTTTTACAGTGAAACTACAGATTTTGATATAAAAGTTGCAGTGGTGAAAAAATAATTGAAGTCTTCCGAATAAATGTAGCAAGTTTAGTTTCGTTTTTTCAGTCAAAAACCACAAAGAGTGGAGGATAGGATAGTGGATGTTCCCTATAGGAATAATTAAGGTTATGTACCATGGGTTCTTTGCTAGCAGAGAGAATGGCATTTAAATCCCCAGTAGCTACAGCAAAGCGTAAGTATATTTACAAGGGTCAACGTTATTAATTTGATTTCCAATTAGAGGCATATCTGAGATGCCAGGTCCACATACTATTCTTGCAGGCTTTTTAAAAAGGTGTTATATTAAATATGGGAGATCCTTGTGTGCTGTAAAGTGGCACGTCTTTGCTGAGTTCACTGCTACTTTAGCATTTTAACCCATTTTAAAATCTAATCCCAAATGTTGCACGTGGACACAGACGCGGAGAACGGTTCTGAAAGGAGCCGAGGAGCGCGGAGACGTCCCTCGGGACTCTTACTCCGACTCACTGCTGTTTGCTGAGCAAATCTCTCCTTTGCTTCGGTGGAAGGTTTGGGAAAGATTGGAAAATGTTTTCCCCGGGACTAGAAAATGAGATTCTTCCTGTGCCAGGGAATGCAAAAAGAGTTCCCGTTTACGTAAAGGTTTGGTGGTGTGTTCAGATATAACACGTAAATGCAGTGTGTTAAATGTGTGCAGCGTAAATCAAAAGAAAATGATGGCTGGATTTTACGACGACCCCACATTACACCTCCCTACCGACAGATTTATTTCCATCATCTGAAGTTTGCATCATCCTTTTTGTTTTTGTTACTTCTGTTTCTAGATGGGCTGAAATAATGAAAATCTATTTAGCTGTATCCACTGTGTCTCTGATGTCAAATAATACCCTCTCTACTCAGTGGCTACTCACTCAAACGAAAGATAGGATACTAAAAGCCCTCTCCGAATGCTGACTTGGAGAATCCTGCATGTTTCCGAGGGAAGTTGGTGTCCTTGCTGACTCCAGAGGACGCAGCATCCCGTCGGATATCAGCGGGATCACACGTGGCGCTGGGCACTGAGAGTAACCTCAGCTGGTGACACAGCTGGGCACCGCGCTGGCCAGAGCTTGTTACGGCTGCAGGAGAACGGAGAATTCCCGTGCTTCCCTCAGGAGATCAGCTCTTGGGCTCCCAGGTCGCTGGGAAGCACGGCCAGTGAAAGTGGGATAACTTGAGAATTATGGAAGAGTGCATTTGGAGTCAGGAGCATAAATAAAACGCCGTTTGTTTTAAAGAAACACAGCTATAGTAAATGTTCTCTTAAATTAAAAGTCATGATAATAACTATTTCCTAAGGAGATATTAGAATCTGGTTTTTTTCTGTTGTGTATTAAAAGTTGTTGGTTTTTTTTTTTCAAAAAAGGGCTAAGTTAAAGGTGTAAAAATCCACTATATATTATAGTATTTAAGTGCTGGCAGTATTCTATTACGATGTGTAGCAAGCAAGCCAGAGTTTGTTAATTTACAGATTTCATAAAGTATTAGGAATTTTGAGTGACTGTGAAAACTTAAAAATGTTGTTTTAATTCCTCATATCTAAGATCTGAAAACCTGATGCAGTTTTTTTTTCCCCCCCATAGGATTTTGCACAGAGCTCAGGCCAAATGGATAATCAGTTATTGCAGCAGAGGGGTACGTCTCCAATGAAATGTAGCAACTGGGTAACAAAATGCGTAGATTTTTATATTCTACTGTGATTTAAGTGTTTTGAGTCTGCGTCACGATGAAAGAAGTATGGTAAATTACAAAAATGAATTTGGAGTTTGGGGAGAGGCTCCAGCTTACATTTTGACTTCACAGCACACGCGTAGTCCAATCTTCTGCTCATCGCATCAGGAATGCAGAGTGTTAATCTTTATTAAATGCTCTGTGGTATCATGTCTTAAAATGTGATACTGTACGTGCACATATTTAATTAACTGTCACAAAGGCTACCTTCAAAAGTTTCAGGTTGCAGACGCCGTGCGGCCGTGCCAGTACACCCAGGGAGCCAAAAATGAGTAAAATACTGTCCTGTAATTACCCCGTAGTTTGTCAGTTTGCAGAAGAGTTGCGAATTATTTTTTTTTCCTTTCAGTCATTGTAAATATTGTGTTAAATACAGTTAACCTCTTTGGGCTAAACATTGGAAAGATTCTCAGTAAGATGGCTATTACTTGTTAAAGACATTTATAATTCAAGTGTGTTGATGGGAATCTGGTCTTTAGTCGCCTGCATTTTGCATCAAGTACGTCGCTGGGACAGTCACTTCTCCCTAACGGCCAGCAGAAATCCACCACTGTTTTGCTGGGTGTTTGCCAGAAGATGAGCAGTTCTAGGTCTAAAACGTTAGCTTTGTGGTTAAAAATAAATTATAAAATATAAAATTAGCATAAATTGATGGAGATTGTTACTGTCAACGGTATACCTCTTTGTCTGAAGCAGCCTCCTGCAGTGTCTGCAGCACAAACTTTCCAGGGTTGTGTTTGCATGAGAATCTGCTCGAGAAACAGCTAAAACTCAAGTGAAAAACTGCTTTTTGTTTTCACTGTTCGAACTGGAGAAACTTTTAAACAAAAATGACTATGTGGTGACATGTGAGTGTGCTTTCTAAACACTCCCCGGTTGCAAAAATGCTGACTTAATGATAGTATAAGCAGGATTATTTTTATCCATTATATCGCTTGAAGGACGGCGTCCCCTGAAAACGAAAGGGGAACAGGGAAGCTGCTGGGAATAACCGGTGGGAGCTCGGGCTGCCTCCCTGGGTGCTGTGCTGCTCCAAGGGTCGGACCCTCCAGCCCCCTGCATGCCTGCTGTAGCCCCCTTCATGTTACCAGCAGGGCTCGTAGGATTAAAAACTGCACTTGTAAATATCTTTGGGGGAATTGGGGAGCAAAACTCCTCCGCAACCCGCTGTGGAAAAAGAAGGTGCTGAGCCAGGAGAGCGGGGTGGAGGCTCCCGAACTCGGAGGCAGCGGAATTGTTCCCCTGTGGGTGCAGGAACGTAACGATGTATAGTGTTCCGATGCATAAAGCACCTCACCCAAAAACTTAAAAATCTAAGCCTTTTCTTGTCAGAGCCCTCTGCCCCTCTTTTTAAAGCAAAACCTCGGAGTCCCAAGCTCCACGGAAGCGTCACCCCATGATCTGAGCTGCCCTTGGTAGGGGGAGGGGAGTAAATGACTTGGAAGTATCTCGAATTGGCTGTGCGTTCATTATTCTTGTTTTATTGCCATCTTATCTTAAGAGGGAATAACTCGGTAATTTTATGTTCTGTCTCCAACAGAAAAATTTTTCAATTCTCAAGATTATCTTGAGCTGTCCAACAGATTCCCCCGCCAGTCCTGGGAAGAAGCTCGACAGTTCTTCTTGAAAAAATAAGCGTCGCATTTGTTTTTAAAGTCCCTAACACCGTCGTGCTGACCGGTTCCTGCTGACTACCTTCTCTGAAAGGCTGTCCCGAGAAGTTTTTTGATACTCTAAATACTTAACGCTGTAGATACATAATTTGCACTATTTATATCCTGAGTACTGTAGATAACTTCCAAGTTCTGTTTTGTAATTTTGATAATTTGAGTTCTGTTTCGTTGGCGTATCCTATGTCATGGCCTGGGTGTTTCCTGCCCTGCGATGTGGTGGCACTTGCACTGCGGAACTGCTGAAATAAGATTGCAAAGAGAGGAAAAAAAAAATATGTTCTATATATCTTGTAATAAAATAACTTATTCTGTCTGTAGCGTGACTTCTGTGTTGCGAATGTTGGTGTTTGAATCTCTGTAAGGCTTGGGACAAGGAAGGAAAAAAAAAAACAACCAAAAAGGACTACTAAGATGTCTTTCCAGTTAATCGAAAGTCTTAAGAGTTTGTCAGATTTGGTTCTGAGAAGAGTTCGTTTGTAATTTTTTTTTTTTTTTTTTGGTGATTTGGGCTCAGTCATGTAATAACGGACTTTTTTAAACCACGCGCATTTTTAACGTTTCGGTACGACTTTAATAATGCCTGTTCAAACCGCGTGATGTTCACTTTAACGCTGGAGGTTCCGTGAAGCGCTATTAAAACGTGGAAAACGGCCCCGTGTCTCGGCCAGGTTTATTCTCCGCGCTCTTCTGAGGGCCCCGCCGGACCCGAGGGGACGGGGCTTCCCCCGGGGGCCGCGCCGAGCCCGGGCGGCGGGCACCGCGACGGGCACCGGCCCCGCCATGGCCC